TCTTTTCCGTCATTCGGGCAGCACACACGCAAACTTCATCGTTGTTTCTTACCTTAAGATTTCTTATAGAACACAGTAAGGACTTGTAAATCTCCCTCTTTTATGCCTGGTTATTACTAGAAACATTCTTTCTGTTTATAAACTAAAACTTTTGTCCTTCACAGACAAATGTGGCAATCCAACCAGTACTGCAAACCTTCCTCAGGCCAAACCTACAAGTATAATTTTGGGCTTGGTGTAAGCACAGTGAAACCAAAACCTTCAAGTCACAGTTATGTGTGATGCAATAACAGAACTTTTGAAAGATGATTGTTAAACTTTCCAGATTTCAGCGATATTTTTAACTAATACCTCCTTGAGTAGCCAAATTCTCACACCGCAGATTTTCTACTTCACTCTGCCTCCAAACAAGCGTACTTATGCTTGTGTTACTTTCCCAGGTCTGTGTGGAAAGGGCTACAAATTCTGATCTCTACTATTAAAAGCCAGTTCAATGGCAAGAACAGCCTGAGAAACTGACAGTCTTTGTGATCACTTGCTTCAGAGTGATGACGTACATTGCTCACAAGAAACCTAATTCATGACTTCTTACTGACACTGACTTCTCAGTTCAAAGGTTAAGAAAACTTAGTGTTTCTTAAAAACATTTTTAACAAAGAGACCTCTTTAGAACAAGCAGCCACCCAAATTTCCATGCAAGTAAAACGATACATTCTGTACCTGGAAGTTGTAAACACTCCATAGACTACTGGATTTTTTGGGTCTTTTGAGTTCATTAGGAACACATCCTCTGTAACAATAACAAGAGATGGAAAACCAAGTTAAATTATTTTGGATAATACCTAAGAACACTTCTGTATTCAAAGCCAGTTGTGTCACTTACGTAGTTCATCAAAGTGTGTGTCAATGCCGTTGGGTCCTGGCACGGAACAGATCAGACGTGCTTTAAGGAAAGTTGTCCATTTGTTTACAAGGCTCCTGTGCCCACCGAAGTCATTCTGATGACAAAAATACTTTGCATCAATATCTAGTAACAGTCTGTCTTTGAAGCACCAACAGAGCGTAGAGAAAATACAGGAAAAAACCACAAGATGCTACTTACAAAAAAACAGAGAAAATAATTCACCTTCTACGTACAAAAGCATTTATTATGTTGTCAAAAAAAAATATTCTGAATTGCTTTATTTTACATTGTATTGTGATGTATTTCATAGTAGCACATCATTTCAAAAAACAAAACCAAAATCCCCCAAACCTCTTTATATATTGTAAAACATATATAACACTGGAAAAAGACAGACAGGCAGAATATTTTGCTCTGGAATTCCCAGGTTGCCATGTCCTGGTAAAGCTTAAGGGGTTTAGTATTCTTAACTGGGTAGTAACAAAGTAGAAATGCAAGTTGCAAATGAACAAAGTAGATAAAAACAGCAGAACAGTGGGATCAGTTGCATAGATCTGCAAAACTTATGAGTAAAGTGCACCAAGGACTCCATACTTAAGGGGTAACTGGTTTTCAAGCAGCGACCTCTGGATTTGAGGAGATAAACTGAAATTGTGCATATGGATTAACATGAAATTTTAGTGCAAACATCATAGCTGCCAAAGCTACAACATTTATTAATATCATTTCATTTGTAGAATTTTTTCTAAAAGTCTGTCAGGAAAATATTTGGATGTTTATCAGAGTGGTTGAATGATTCAATCTGCAGTCACTGAGGGTCCTCTGAACAGTCGCCCATTTCTACAGTTAAGCTTAAACAACTGTTCTGTTAAATCTTCCTTTGCCTCCGTTTTAAAGATTTTCACTAATGTGGGAATGGAAAGGTATTACCATTATTTCAAAAAGTAAATTCTTCAAATGTTTTTGGCCTACGTGGAATTATCACATTTCCTGTAAAAGATTCTCTCTTTTGCAGACACATTCTAAGCCTCAGAACATGCCTCTTTCAACAAAACACCGCAGCCTGTGAATCTTCCCCAGACAGAAAACTGAATAGTATACCTTCGGGTGGGTTATCCCCTAAATAGTTTTCACTTGGGACGATTTCTGCATTAGTACAATGCCAGTGCTAATAGTGAATAATTTACAGGCAAGAAAACACAGTTTCTAAAATCACACGCAAAGCATCCTGCAAGTGTATTAAAGCCCACACAACGAACCCATCATTTTACCTTGCAGATCTGCCCTATTCTGGCATGAGTGGCTTTTCCAGTGTGCTCGCCATCGATCGCATTTTCACGGAAGAAGAAATAGATTTTGTCATCTTCTGGATTGTCGCTCTCCGGTATCAGGTGAGCACTAACAAATCTAGGATCTGAGAAGACAATGCCGTTGCACATGTTACTACTCCATGAATTGAATTATTTGCCTTCCTTATATAAATGAATTGTGATTTGCTTCCCAAGAATCAACCTTTACATCAAATGGCAAATATATCTATGTTAGGTACATCATCACCCATTAGCATGTGACAGGTATTTACATTTCTCTCATCTTTAATAGAGGTGTTTGCTACAGATATTTAATGAACAGACTTTATTATTGGAGTAATTAAACATTCATGAAATCTCTTTACAAATGGTTGTATAACATTTCAGACTGGTTTCCTAATTCCATGTATTTATTACTGACATTTTTCTTGTTTCTTTTGATGTTTTGAATTTTGGTCAATAATCTTTCTGCATGTGTTGCACACAAAATGAGAGAATTACTGAGACAAATCTAATATACCTAACTTTAGCAATAATGAAAAAAATGTAAAGAAGTATTTCACATCTTGAAAAGTATTAATGTGTTACTGTCAAAAAAAATGAGTTAAAAAATACAGTTCTGTCTACTTCCACACTATGATACCCCAAACCCCAACATATTTGTCTCATTTTCAGAAGAGAAACGTGTTTGTGAAATTCCATTCAAGTTGTGGAAATAATGTGTCTTGGAATTTTTTTTAAGATTTTTTTTTTTCACAGAAAACCTTTATTTCTTGAAAACTAGAGTGACAATATTATTTGGTGATAAAGAAGATACATCAACAAATTAAAATACATAAAATACTGATTGGTTACATAAAAAATAGTGGAAAGAAGTTTTAGGAAAGAAGTTTATAGCAATTATAACAGCAAATTCGTACCAGCGGTGAATCTGGCTCATCACTGTATTTTAGAGAGATACATCAGCTGGTATCTTTCACTATATTTGGAAAAATAAGACATATCCAACAGATTTACCAATCTGTTTTATAACCATTTTACATCCTGCTGGGATAATTAACTGTGAACTATATTTAACTACTCAGAGTCCTGTTCCTATGTGAAATTATAAGCTATTTTAGTGTCAGGCATTAACATCTTTTCAGTGTACATTTATTGCTATATCGTCATGGAAATAATGAACTGTACTTTGTTTTGCCAGTTTGCACTAGCTGTCCTGTGAAACCCATTGTCTTATTAAGGATGGCAGTGTTTGTAAACAACATATATTTTGATATATTTATGTGTTTAGATGTTTCTGTTGTATGAGCACATACTGGATAATGTTGTGCATGTTTATATATTCTCATGTACTCTGTGTATACATATATACACATATGTACACACATATTCTCATGTACTCTGATCTCAGTTGCTTTCTATGTGCTTAGTAACACTCAATAGATTTTTCATCCAGTTATGTGTCTAGACTCTTCTTGAACTCATGCAAATTTCCAGCATTTGTAGTGTCCTTTTGGAATTTGTTCCTCAAGTACACAATCTAATAAACTAAAACCTACTTCTGATTTTGTGTTTTGAACATCAATCTTATTAACGTCATTTGGTGCCTCTTAATTCCTGTATTGGAAGTACCCACGGTGTTCAAGATGTGGATGAACTGTGCTGTTATACAAGGGCTATAGCAATGCTCTTTGGTGAATTCTGTTCTTTTTCTAATAATTCCTAACATTTAATATGGATTTGACAGTTCCAAAGCAGTAATCTGAAATTTTCATGGAACTTTATGTGCCATAAGCCCAGAACCTCAGTCTTCATTGGTAATGCTCAGTCCACAGCCCATCGTTTTATATGTGAAGATAGACGTTTTTTCCTCATGGTTTTCCCCATGGTTTATCACTACATCATTCATCAAGAATTATTTAATTTGTCATTTGATTGCTTAGCTACCCAGTTGCATAAGATCCTTTTGTAATTCTTCACAATATTCCTTTGTCTCACTATGCTGAATAACTGGGTATCATGTGAAAATTTTTCTCATCCTGCTGCTCAACCTCTTTTTCAGGTTATTTATGAACATGTTGAACAACACAGACCACAGAACAGATTTCTGTGGAACTGTGTCCATTACCTATTGTCTATTACAATAAATCTTTTTAGACACCTGAAAACATCAAAAATCTGTATGCAGCTTAAGCTCTCCAACCCAAACCCCAGTAACTTAAGCTTCTTTTCTTTCTAGCATGCATTTAATAGCCTTCAAGTTACACTGACACGAGGTCCAAGACAAATAATATCTAGACTATATTGTACCATGGTAAATATCTGTTATTTTTTATATATGATCTACCAGGGCTTTGAATGCAACTTGTATTACAAGAAACACAAGGCTACAGCTTGAAAGTTTCTTCATTGCAGTCTGTGGAAGGATACATCAGAGAAAGAGGATACTCATTAGTAGACACTGTTCTGGGCTACTAGATCTGGAGAACCTCTTGTCTCAATACATTGTTTTTACAATTTTAAGGTCTTAATGAAAAGGGTGAAAAAAATCATTCAGTCAAAACCTAAATACATTCCCAAATGGTTGAATGTTGGTTTTTTTTTTTTTTTTTCCTAGCACAATGGGCTTTGTAAATCACAAGATATCAAATTCTAAAACAAATCACTGTATTATCAGACATCAAAAATCTAACTTTACGTTGGCCTGTGAAGATACTGTGGGGAGTCCCACTTGAGTCAATAACATTGCTGATATAATACGGGTTATACAAACTTGCCCTCAGTTAGTATATTATTATTCTTTTCTTTGCCTTTCATAATTTTGCAAGTGAACCTAGAAACAGTAAGACAGTTTAGTATTCAAGCAGGACTGATACAAGAATGATGGAAAAATAGTTTAAGATATTGAAAATATATATTTTGACTAGTTCTGTCAGAGTAGCATCAAAGGAGAGGGGTGTGAGGAAGGCAGATGTAACTAATGTCATAGCCAGAGGGTATGTGAATATGCTTTCTGTGCACTTCTTACCAGTGCCCATCCGGATGAATTCATATTTTCAATTAGTGATTAATAATACTAACTACATCCCTAAAAATAAAGCGGTCGCACAGCCTCATATTAGAACACATCCGTTGTGCATCATGGAACAGTTTTTGTTTAATAACACTGGTGTTTCTTACTGAGCAAACCTCAGGCTGTTTCACCATCTGGTTAAATCAATATGTTTTAGTCAATAAAAGAGTGGTTCTTCATGTTATAGGGCCCTTGCTCTTGTTACCTGGTGGTGTTTGGCTTTTTTCCCCCTTCCTTATGACAGATCTGCGTCTATGCAATGAAGCAAATAAAGGAAGAACAGGCTACATGTGTTCTGTTGCATACAGAACTAGATTAATTTCTGTTCAGAATGAATATAATGATCATAAAAGCAACACCGCGATTGTATATGTGGAGAGAGGGAGAGAAATGTGGTTGATAATTTTGTAGGTTATAAAGCTAAGAAGTGGGTGGTGCAAACTAGTGATCTGTATTGTGTTCTTTATTGTTTCATTAGTGTAGGAGCTGTTCGACTTGCCTGAGGCTTGATGCATACTTGCATTTAACTCCAGGGCTTCAGACCATGCTTATAACTCCCTGTTTAGGGTCCTGATGAATCAATCAGCCAGATGGCCGACAGTCACGCAACATGGCACTCTCCATGGACTACACAGCATTCTTGTATTGCTCTTCTTTGAGGAAGAGAAGGGAGATGTCCACAGACGAGAGACTTCTCCTTGAGTCTCCTAATTGCTCACCCATGCAGCAGAAGAAAGAATGTCATCCATGAATGTGTATGTTCAAGTATTGAGACTGCCCTGCCTTACCCTGCAAAATTAAACAAGTTCGGTATCAAGGGGTCCCCATGGGATGTTTAAAATAATTCAGTCAGGGTTGACCTATTTTATATATTCAACACAGCCACTACAGAAGTGCTGGAATGAACTTCAAGTAAGTTTTACTGAATGGAAAGTGGGACTTTCATCCAAACTCACTGGTGACAGTTCTAAAAGTCAGTGCACTGCAGCTATTGTGGACAGATAGGATAACTTCAAATGACTGTGTATGAATTATCAGGTATTCTGTGACCCTAAAACTGTCTCCAATCTGTGAAGTGTTCAGAAATGCTGTTATAACACTTCAACATTTTCTTCTTTAAAAGCAGTCTCCCATTGGCTAAAAGTCCAGAAAGTATGTTTTGGGAAAACTAATTTAAGAAATAATTTGACAGCAAATATTTTACAATTCATTGCTTTAAAAAAAACCACAAGCAAACAATGTGGAAGAGGGCTTTAAAAACCAGCATACATCAAACGGACATGTCTGAAACATGTTTAAGCATGATCAAAGGAGAAACAAAGCCACAGCATAAACATGATCAAAATAAAGTTACAGCTAAAAACACTTCTCTGATCTTGCAGCCAACGTGGACAAGCTAAAAATAAAAACTTGTATTTTTATTTAAAACAATCAGCCTCAAGAAGCAAATTATTAAAGCACACACCTTTTTCAGTCTCCTTTTTCTAGTTGTCTTGGCTGTGGGGCTATTTCTGAGCTGCCGCATGACACCTTTCTAGTTTTGTGTGCCCTCCTGCAATTACCAGCTCTGCAGACATGGCACTGGCAGCAGCCCATTAAACTGTCCTTCACGAGAAATCTGGCTCTCTACGAAAACGACACCTTGGTCCAGCTGCCTCTATGATTTATATGCCATTGTTTGCTTAGTTAAGTAATGGAAACATGTTTTGCTTGTCTCAGCATTTTAGGTTGAGAAAAAAAGCTAAAAAAAAATCGATCTGCATTTGTTTTCTTTACAAATGTTACTCTTCAGCAGCAACAACTGTGCCCACAAACACACCCCAACAGCAAGAAACAATAAAAGTCAGAAATTGGATTTCTAACTGAATTGTATTAGCATTTTAATGAAGATCTATAAACATGAAGGCACAGAAATTACCTTTAGCTATCAAGACTGACTAAGCTGCGGGAACAGAAGCTGGGGTCATCTCTTCATCACTTGACAGGAGCCAAAGGGCAGTTCTCTCAGGAAATGTTTTGTAAAGAGTTTGA